GAAAGAAAAGGGAGGGGGGATAGAAGGAAGGAAGAAGTAGTAAGGGTAAAGGGAAAGAAATGGAAGGGGGCTAATAGAAGGGAGGTGGGGCTGAGGGAAGCTGTGGTTAAAAGCAAAACGCTAATGTAGAGAGAAAGGGAGAAAGGAGAAAGAAAAGCATAAACAGAAGGGAATAGGATGGAGAGAAAGACACACATAGTAATCATAACTGTGAATGTGAATGGGATGAACTCTCTCAAAAATAGCTGATAGCAGAATGGATTTAAAGCTGCAATCCTACAACATGTTGTTTACAGGAAACACATTTGAACAGAGGGATACACACAGGGTAAAGGTAAAAGGCTGGATTATAATATATTATGCTTCAGCTGATATTAAAAAAAAAAAGCAGGGGTAGCAATCCCCATCTCAGACAAAGCAAAAGCAAAAATAGACCTTATCAAAAGAGATAAGGAAGGAAACTACATCCTGCTAAAAGGCACCATAGACAATGAAGTAATATCATTATGAAACATATATGCAACCAAGTGGTGTAGCATCCAAATTCTTAGAGGATAAATTCAGGGAGTTACAGGAAGAAATAGACAACGAAACTATACTAGTGGGGGACCTCATCTTCCCCCTTTCTGAACTAGATAAATTCAACCAAAAAATAAACAAGAAGGAAGTTAAGGAGGTAAATAGAATGTTAGAAAAGTTAGATATGGTAGACCTCTGGAGAAAATTGAATGAGGAGAGAAAGGAAAATGCTTTTTTCTTGACTGTACATGGTCCATACACAAAAATTGACTATGTACTATGGCATAAAAACCTCACAATTCAATGAAGAAAGGGAGAAGTATTAAATGCATCCTTTTCAGATCATGATGCAATAAAAAAAATGTATAATAAAGGGCCACAGAAAGGTAGATTAAAAATTAATTGCAAACTAAATAATCTAATCCTAAAGAATGAATGGGTCAAACAACAAATCATAGCAACAATCAATAACTTCATTCAAGAGAATGACAATAATGGAATAATATACATAAAGTTATGGAATGCAGAGAAAGAAGTTCTTAGGGAAAGTTTTATATCTATAAATGCTTACATGAATAAAATAGAGAAAGAGGAGATCAATGAATTGGGCATGCAACTAAGAAAATCAAAAAAGAACAAATTAAAAATCCTTAATTAAATACCAAATAAGAAATACTGAAAACCAAAGGAGAGATTAATAAAATTGGAATTAAGAAAACTATTGAACTAATAAATAAAATTAAGAGCTGGTTTTATGAAAAAAAGACAATGAAATGAATACAACTTTGGTTAATTTAATTTTAAAAGAAAGAAGAAAACCAGATTATCAGTATCAAAAATGAAAAGCATAAATCCACAACCGAGGAAGAGTAAATAAAAACAATAATTATAAACTATTTTGCCTAAGTGTATGGCAATAATTTGACAATCTTAATGAAATGGATAAATATTTACAAAAATACAAATTGCTTAGATTAACAGAAGAGGAAGTAAAATACTTAAATAACCCCATCTCATAAAAAAGAAATTGAACAAATCATTGATGAACTCCCTAGGAAGAAGTCTCCGGGGCCAGATAGATTTACAAGTGAATTCTGTCAAATATTTAAAAAAGAATTATTCCCAATATTACATAGACTATTTGAGAAAATAGGCAAATAAGGAGACTTACCAAATTCTTTTTATGATACAAATATGGTGCTGATACCTAAACTGGGAAGAGACAAAACAGAGAAATAAAATTGTAAACCAATTTCCCTAATGAATATAGATGCAAAGATTTTAAATAAAATATTAGCAAATACATTATAGCAACTTATATGATAAGAATAATACAGTATGACTAAGTAAGATTTATACCAGGAATGCAGGGCTGGTTCAATAATAGGAAAACTATCAACATAATTGATCATATCAAAAACAAAACTAACAGAAACCACATGATCATCTCATTAGATAACAGAAAAAGCTTTTGACAAAATGTACCACCCATTCCTATTAAAAACACTAGAGAGCATAGGAATAAGTGGAGCCTTCCTTAAAATGATAAGTAGCATCTACCTAAAACCTTCAGGAAGCATCATATGTAATGGAGATAAGTTAGAAGCATTTCTAATAAGATTGGGCATGAAACAAAGATGTCCATTATCACCACTGTTATTCAATATTGTACTGGAAATGTTAACTTTAGCAATAAGAGAAGAAAAAGAAACTGAAGGCATTAGAATAGGCAAAGAAGAAACAAAGCTATCACTCTTTGCAGATGATATGATGATATACATAGAAAATCCTGGAGAATCAAGTAAAAAAAACTAGAAATAATAAACAATTTTAGCAAAGTTGCAGGCTATAAAATAAACCTAGATAAATCATCAGCATTTCTATATATTACCAACAAGACTTAACAGCAAGAGATAGAAAGAGAATTATCCCATTCAAGGACATTTGAAGGAGATGGAAGAAAGGCAGCCCCTTCTGGTGTTGTTCTTGGTCTTACTTCCATGTGTAATATGATGAGGATAGGGCAGGAAGCAGCCAGTCAAAGAGTTTTTATTTTAGGAGCTTTTACAGCAAATTGCTTTCAAAATGAGCTCCTGTCTCATGATGGAAAATGCTATCCATATCCAGAGAAAGAACAATGGCATTTGAATGCAGATCAAAAGAAACTATTTGCTCTCTTTCATTTTTCTTTCTGTTTTGTTTTGTTTCCTCTTTCTTGTGGTTTCTCCTATTGGTTCTAATTTTTCTTTACAACATTGCTAATGGGAAAATATGTTCAATAGGAATGTATATGTAGATTGCATTCTATCTTGGGAAGGGGAGAAGAAAAGGTGAGGGAGAAAAGTTAAAACCAAAAGCTTACGGCACTAATTGATGAAAACTAAAAATTAATTAATTAATTAATTAATTAATTAATTAATTAATTAATAATAAAAAAAAAGAAAATGAGCTCCTTCATATATGCGTGTCACAGTCAAAAGAACAATGGGTTGGATTCATAAAATATGGTTCTTAGTTCCTGTTCTGCATTTTAAGAGACTTTGGGCAAGTCACTCACTTCTCTGGATTTCAGCTTCTTTCTTTGTTAAAGCAGAGCAATGCATAAGGTGATATCTAAGTTGCCCAGAATTTTTTCTTTTCAAAGATTCCATGATGAATTGAAACATTTGTCCACTACGAGCCTAAGGACTATTTCATGGACTTGCTTTTTCGCAAAAGCCACAAAAATAGAATCCTCAAGATTTGCCTCCATTTTTACAGAATAATTGAATCGTGAACTTTGTCCGTGAAGCCATACAAACACAGAGAGATGATCACACAGAAAGTGGGCTGCATCCAAGAAAAAAGAGAGATGATCTCAGCATAGAGTATACAAAAGTCAATTATCTCACTTAATTTCTGAAGTGGAAAAGTAAAAAAAAATTAGGGCCTTGCTCTCATAAGACATACAAATATATGTATGTATGTATAAATGTACATGTATGTGCATGTATTATGCACACATATGTATATATGTGTCTTTTTGAACACATCAAATTTCTTCTAATTTTCTGTTTTTACTTCATTTTGTCTGAGTACTTGTAGCTAGTGTATTATCTTTTCTGCCTCTATTTCCATTAAAATATCTATCCATCTAATAATCTAGCTGAAGTTCAATATTTGCCACTCCTCTAGACATGTCTGATGTGGGGTTGCAGAAAACTTCAACATTTAATGATTAATTGGTATAGAAAAAGAAGAAAACAGGGTACAAGGAAAACAAGGGCAGTCAGTCTGTACTGCATGGCAATGTAAGACTATCAGAGGCTAATTGCACATACATGAGCCTAACACTTTTTCCTAATATGAATTACGGAGGCTATCCATTCTCCCTTTAATTGACTCCCTGAGCTATCCTCCAGCAACGTGGGGCACGCCAAAACTAGAAAGCCAGTATTATTGTCTGCACTTTATGCCCTGTGTTGTGCTCTGGTAATCCATGTCACTCAGCTCAGTGCTATGTTGCAGATAAAATGGAAGTAGAAGACACGCTTCATCAACTTAAGGCATTCAAAGTTGTTTGGAAGACTCAGCAAAAATAGAATGAGCAGCATGTTTTAACTGGACTGGAATTCTAAGAATTGGATGTGTCTTCTAAAAGTTCATGTCCTGGAACAAAAAGCTTGCTTGGAATACCTTAACTATTGTTCTACATACTTGAAAATAAATGCCTATATTTTGAGCTCAGTTCAAATCTCCCTACTCCCAGAGCTGGATTTTTCTTACTTCACTCCAGCTCCTATTGCTTTCACTTTCATTCCATCTTTTACTGTGTATTTTGTTCCTATGTTGTCTCCCAATTGTTATAATTTAAGCTCTTTGGGAGCAGAGACTGTCTTTTTGCCCTTCTTTATATCCTGAGTGCTTAGTATAGTACCAGGAACATAATAAGAAGTTAATAAATGCTTGGGTGCTTAATTTATCTGATTAAACATAGAAAGTCAGGAAAGAAAAATAATTTAATGTGGAAAAATAACAATGATTTTTCCATGAAATTTATATGAACCATTTCTATGAAACTGGCTCTGTGATTCCTACGAGTAAGTCAAAAATATTTTTTCAGTGAAACAGAGATATGGAAAGTTTAGAGAAAGGAATTTATGAAATTTCAAAAAGTAGAAGATTTTATAAATTGAGGGAGATTACTAATTGAGAGTATTTTCTCTCCACAAATATCTTTTAAAATCATATATTTTTTTCAAATATTTTTGTATTTATACAGTGAAAGTTTTTGATGTTTTCTCAAGAATGAAGTTAATCCCATTTTTCAGTCATTGTTATTGTGATTCATTAATATTGTTGAAGATATTGGGATAAAAACACCCAAAAAAAGACACAAACAAGTGGAGCTGAGGCAATATTTAGAAAAAATGTAAATGAAGAATGAAATAATTGTTGGTGTCTTTATCTCATTAGGCAACACAGATCACTAGATCTATATCATGTCCAGATTTGAGAAAATGCTCAATTTCACTGATGTGACCGAATTCATTCTTCTTGGACTGACAAGTCATCGGGAATTACAAGTTATCTTCTTTGTCATCTTTCTAATAGTTTATGTAATCACCATTGTGGGAAATGTGGGCATGATTATACTAATCAAGGTCAGTCCCCAGCTCAGCAGCCCCATGTACTTTTTCCTCAGCCACCTGTCTTTTGTGGATGTGTGGTTCTCCACCAACGTCACCCCCAAAATGCTGGAAAATTTGATATCAGAGACTAAAACCATTTCCTATGCCAGCTGTTTAGTTCAATGCTTTTTCTTCATTGCCCTTGTCCATGTTGAAGTCTTTATCCTGGCTGTGATGGCCTTTGATCGTTACATGGCCATTGGTAACCCTTTGCTCTATGGTAGTAAAATGTCAAGATTGTGTGTATCCGGTTGATCTCTTTCCCATATATCTATGGCTTCCTCACTAGTTTGGCAGCAACATTGTGGACTTACGGGTTGTATTTCTGTGGGAATATTGAAATCAACCACTTCTACTGTGCAGACCCTCCACTTATCAAAATGGCCTGTGCTGGCACATATGTAAAGGAGTATACAATGATCATACTGGCTGGTATTAACTTCACATACTCCCTCTCTGTCGTAATTATTTCTTATCTGTTTATTCTCATTGCTATCCCCCGAATGCATTCCGCAGAAGGAAGGAGGAAAGCTTTCTCCACCTGTGGATCCCACTTGACAGCTGTTGTTATATTTTATGGGACTCTCATCTTCATGTATCTCAGGCGCCCCACTGAGGAGTCAGTGGAACAGGGGAAAATGGTGGCTGTGTTTTATACCACAGTAATCCCCATGCTCAATCCCATGATCTACAGCCTAAGGAACAAAGATGTGAAAGAGGCCATGACCAAAGTGATAAGCACAGCATGTTTAGCCAAATAAAAATAGCCTCTGTCTTCTTCAGTTCTATGAACATTTGAGCTTGAATGGGGTGATGTGTATGTGTGGGAGTGAGTCACCATGATTCACTAGATTTTTGTAGTATCATTTTGCGGGGTAGGGAAGAAACAGTGGAGAATGTAACCATTTAAGTTCCAGAGAAGGCATCTGTAATGACCACCAATAGCCTCTTCCACAAACGTAACAATTGAAAGCCATAAGGCTGTAATGTGAAAAATCCTGTACAGATGCATCACTTGTGAAGGCATTGACCTCTTGAACTCTAGTCAACAAACATTTATCAAGCACCTACACAATATGTCAGGCACTGTACTCAACCTAGTAGGGTACATAGAAGGGCCAAAGAGCAAAAAAACAAACAAACAAACAAACAAAAACAAATAAAACAAAAACAGTTCCCACACTTAAGGAGCTCTCAGTGTGTTGGGAAGACTATGTAATCACACATGTAAGTATGTGTGTGTGTGTGTGTACATATATATACATATATGTATTTGTACACACATGTATATACATACATTTAATAAAAATTGATAAACAAAGCATGTGCTAAGCAAGTCAAAGCACTGCCAGCCAAATCTCACCTCATGTTCTAATAGGGACAGTCTAGGACTCTGAGCCCAAGGACCGTGGGACAAACAATGCTTTCAATTTAGGATCTGCAGCCATCGTCCTGGGGACTAATTCTTGTAGAAATTCTGAATGCTCATTGATTTTATAGTGACTACAAATGAAACTACTGAAGGCACAGAAAATAAAATTCTTGCCACTAAAGTCTTTGACAATCAGTTTGTTCAACATCAAAAAATGCTGCCATTTTATCAATGGAGAGTTAACATTAAAAGAGGCCAAGATAGCAGAGTTAAAGAAGCACTGAGCCAAGCTCTCCCAACATTCCTCTCCAAATAACTTTAAAGTAACATCTCAAGTTTAATTCTGGAGTGAAAGAGTCAACAAAAGGTCAGAGTGAGAAATTATTTCAGACCAAGGAAAGTTAGGAGCTCAAAAAGAGAGATCTATGACATGCAGGTGAAGGCTGGCCAGGAGGCCACATGGATAAAACATCAGTTTTAGGACTAGTTGGTGGTTAGAGAAGCAGCAGCAGATTCAGGAGCTCTGGTAAGGGGTCTTGTCAGCTGATCAGAAGGTAATTAAAGGGGACCCCTGTAAAGGCCTTGGATGTAGAAGCAGATGATGTTTGGCAAATCTATTGCCTATATCTTCTTAAGAGTCATAATCCCAGGGCAGAAAGGATCGCTGAGTATGCCATTATATCATCTGCAAAGAGTGATGATTTTGTTTACTCATTACTAATTCCTTTAATTTCTTTTTTCTTCTTTTTTTGCTACAGCTCTCATCTGCATTACAATACTGAATAATATTGGTGTGAATACACAACCAAAGAAGATTTAATTAAACAATTAGTAGGAGTTATATTGTTCCGTTATATGCTGGTGACACTTACAATATAAATAAAATGGATGAATAGTTTAAAAAATGTAAACTGCCCAGATTAACAGAAGATGAAATTGAATACCTAACACAATCTTTGAAATAGAAATTGAACAAGCCATCAATTAGCTCCCTAAGAAAAAATCCCCAGGCCCAGATGGATTTACAAGTGAATTCTATCAAACGTTTAAGGAACACTTAATTGCAACATGATGTAAACTATTTGGGAAAAAAAAATAAGTAAAGAAGGAGTCTTACCAAATTCCTTTTTTGACACAAAAGACAATACTTTTCATACCTAAACCAGGGAGAACAAAAACAGAGAAAGAAAACTATAGACCAATTTTCTTAATATTGATGTAATTTTAAAAAATAGAATATTACCAAGGAGACTGCAGTGATACATAACAAAGAGCACATATTATTACTGTGAGAGATATTATTACTTAGAAGTGGAGTCTCCTCAGAGGGTCAATAGTTCTTCTTAATGGTCCTTGTATTGTTTTCAAAACCCTCCCCTGCTCAGACCCTGTTTTTAAGCACTTAGCAAAAATAATTGCCCTACCCCCAACCTGAACTACTTGCCCTTGCAAAACTGCCCTCCTCTCTGGGCAAACTTGTGTAACTGCCTTCGATCTCTACTGCATGGGAAGAAAGCCGTGAATACATTGTGCGTCCCGAAGCCCAGCCAATGGGATAAGGGGAAGGGGATTAGGGAGGAGGAGCTCTCTTTAGGATATAAATGAGACTTGCCTTTCTGTAACCAACTCATACTCTCCTGGCTGTCCCACAGGATGACTGATTATTACAAAGGGGTCACAAACACCCTACACTTTACCAATATTAGGAAAACTATAAGCATAATTCACTGTATCACAATAACAAAAATGTGATTATATTAATATGTATAGTAAAGGCTTTTGACAAGATGCAACACTCATTCTTAAAATGGCAAGTAGTAACTATCCAAAACTAAGAATAAGCATTATCTGCAATGAGAATAAATTTGAAGGCTTCCTAGTAATATCAGAGGTAAGCGAGGATGCCCATTATCACCACTATTATTCAACATTGTTCTACTAATTCTAGCTGTAACAATAAGGCAAAAAAAAAAAAGAAATTGAAACAATAAAAGGCAAAGAGAAAGCCAAATTATCACTCTTTGCAGATGATATGGTAGCACGCTCAGAGAACCCTAGAGAATCAACTTTAGCAAAGTAGTAGGATATGAAATAAACCCACATAAATAGTGAGAATTTCTATATGCTACCAACGAAATCCAATAGGAAAAGATGGAAAGAGGAATTCTATTTAAAATAACTACCGATAATATAAATTATTTGGAAGTCTACCTGTCAAGAAAAAAAAAACATCAATTATGTGAACATCATTATAAAGCACTTTTCACACAGATAAAATCAGGACTAAACAATTGGAAAAATATTAATTGTTCGTGGGTAGATTGAGAGAATATAATAAAAATGATAATTTTGCTTAACTTACTTTACTAATGTAGAGCCATAAAAATCAAGCCACCAAAGAATTATTTTAGAAAACTAGAAAAAAAAGGAAAGAAATTCATCTGGAAGAACAGTCAAGAATATCAAGGGAATTGATTTTCTTTTTTTGTTGTGATGAGAACAGCCTGAGAACACCGGATTTCAAACAATATTATTAAGCAGAAATCATCAAGATTTCTGTCATTGGCTAAGAAATAGATTCATGGATCAAAAGAATAGATTAGCTGTAAAATTCATGGTAGTAAATTTTCATAGTAATCCATTGTTTGCAAAACCCAAGAGCTAAGCTTTTGGGGTAAATACTTATCATTTGATAATAATTTCTGGAAAAACTGAAAAGCAGAAATTCAGACTAGACCACTTATTTCACACTATGAACCAAAATAAGACAAAAATGGATAAATTATTTAGAGAAAGGAACCAGTGATATCATTATGAAATTAGGAGAATGTGGAAAATATACTTGTCAGTTCGAGCAATAAGGGAGTATTTTATGACCAAAGAAAAGATAAAGAGGATCATGAGAAATAAAATGGATAATTTTGATTACATAAAATTAAAAATGTTTTGCATAAATATAACTAATACAGGCAAAATTAGAAGGAAAACAGGAAACTAGGAAAAATTACAGCAAGTTTCTCTGATAAGGGCCTCATTTCTCAAATACACAAGGAACTGAGTAGAATTTTTTTTTCATATAATTATGCATAGTTTTGATTTCTTTTTCTGAAAACTGCCCATTCATGTCTTTTGACTATTTTTCAATGGAGGAATGACTCATATTCTTAGAGATCTGACTCAGTTTATGCAAAATGAATTTAATTCAGTATAATCAAAACTATCTTTATCTCCCATAATGGTCTTTATCTCTTATTTGTTCATAAATTCTTTCCATACACATAAATACGATAAGTAAAATATTCCATGGTCTACTTATTTGCTTATGATGTCACTCATCTTATCTAGATCAGGTACCCATTTTGACCTTATTCTAGTTAACAGTGTGAGATGTTGGTTTACAACTAGTCCATGCTAAACTACTTTCCAATTTCCCAAGCAGTATTTGTCAAAGAGTATCTTTTTTTCTGTTTTCACTCTTTCTGGTTTAGGTAACAGTCCCTTATTTTGTCATTAAAGGGTTTTAGTAGGATTCCATTTTTTTTCCCATCTTTTCTGAAATAGTTTATATGGCATTGGAATTAGTTGTTCTTTAAATATTGGGTAAAATTCACTTGTGAATTCACCTGATCCTGGTGATTTTTTTCTTCTTGAGCTCATTGATGGCTTTTTCATTTTTTTTCTAAGATAAAGTTATTTAAGTATTATATTTCCTTTTGTGTTAACAAATGTCTATTAACTGATTGATTTCTGTACTTTTTTAGCAGACAGTTCACTCTCATGTTGGATTTCAAGTGCTTCCTTCCCAATTTTCAGCTGCTCAGCAATTTTGTTTACAAGAGAGACTATTTAAAAAATATATATATATATATATGTATATATATATATATAATATATATATATATATATATATATATATATATATATATATATATATATATATATATGTCAACTATAATAAGATTGGAAACATATGTCGGAGCCACATTATGGAATGTGTAAAAGGACTTAATGTGTTTAGCTAATCTGAAGCTAAGATGTCAGAAAAATAAAAACCTGCTCCTAATCTCTAATTTAAAACTTCACAAGTATAATATGATTTTCTAGAACTTTTACTCTATTGATATATTCCTGGAGAATCCAGGGCTTCTTCTATTCCATGATAAGACAGTAGTGGAAGGATTGAATGGAATTCCAAAGACATTGGTACATTTAAAAAAAATGCAAACCTCTGAATCCTTTGAATATGGGAGTTATTAGCATCTCATTTTTTTTAGATAAAGAACCTGACAGTCATAGAACATAAGTTCTGCATTTGTGGCCTCACCTAAAAAGTGGCAGAGCTTTGACTAGCACCCAAATTATTTTACTGCCAGTCTAATGATCTTGTACCTTAACATGTTTCTATTAACTAATCTGTTTCATAATCCAGGAGAAGAAGAAACTTTTCAGGAAGTAATCTTCAACATCTCCACTAATTTCCTAAAAGATCTACTCACTCATTTGTTTACATCTTTAAGTGCTTCTTTATCCCAGAAGATGAATAAATTGTATCCCTCTAGGACTATTGCCCACTGAGACACTGAATATCTAGGGGAAAATACATATAAGCGATTTAAATACATGATACTCATAATCTACTTAATTTACAATCTCTGTTCTATTCCACAGGTAGGATATACAATTTCAAAATTAGTTCTGACATGAAGAGAATTACAGTAGCTTTCTAATTTTGAGCTTGAGTACATTCTTTCTAATTGTTACCCACTATCTCTTTTGTCTGACAAAACTATAAGGATGAAAACTCTAATCTAAATCTGTTTTTCTTATGGACGTTAGTCCTTTATGACTATGTCACGTACATTTAGATGAAGATGATTATTTCACTTTAATCAGGTTTTTTTCATGTATTCATTCATTGAATAAATACTTAGGGAAGGGTTAATGTCAACAATTTTGAAATGCCTGTTATGTGCCAGGCGCTGAACCTCTATTAGATACTTTGCAAGATGCAAAAATGAAGATGTGGTTCCTGTCTTTGCCCTCCATTTGAAGGTTACAGATTTATGCCTGAATAACTACATACCTTTCCCTTTTTTTTGACAGTTGCTACCAAGTCAGAAGACTTCTGTAGACTAGAATCATAGGAACAGAAGCATTACCTATTAGTTTAACCTCCTCACCTTAAATTTGAAGAATAGGAGACCCAGGGAGTCACGTGTTTTTTTCCAAAGTCACATAGTTAGTAAAACCTGTGAGATGAGTATTGCACCAAGTATTCTCTAAGGTCACTAAGCGGCACAGGGCAGCATGCTGTACTTGGAGCCAGTTAATCAGTAAGAATTTATTAAGCATTCACTAGGTGTAGAACATAGATGAATGGATCGTCATCCTCGGTCTCATATTGTCCATTCGTATATCTTGAAATAATCACTCTTTTTGTGACTCATTTTCCTCAGGCATAACATGAAGATAATAATATTTGAAATACATATCTCATGAGACTGCTTTAAGTTATAAAGTTGTAAACCTGAAGTGCTACACGATGTAGAAACATGTAAGTTGTTATCATGTTCTACTATTTCTTCTAGGTCTCACATTTTACATCACGAAAAGGCACAGAGTCAAGATAGAAAAAGACCTTGCTATTGTTGGATACTTTAATAGACCAGATCTGGAATATTGTGTTCACTTCCTGATGTCCCATTTTAAAGACTTTGGCAAGCCACAGTGAATCCAAAGGAATGCCGCAGGAATGGCGAGATTGGAGAACAGATCAGGAGCAGAGTTTTTTGAAGGTAGTACAAATGTATAGTCTGGAAAAATAAATTTTAGGGAGCGTAGAATATCTATCCTTATGGATGTATCTGTCATATGAAAGTGGGAATATATTTCCCCCCACCTGACCTCCGAGGTTGGAATTAAAGACAATGATGAAACTTGTAGATAAGTCAATTTGTCTATAAAGGAAGTTTTCCTAATAATCAGAGGAGTGAAAAAAAAAAGCAACGTGTTGCTCCTGAGGGAGTTGGACTCCTTTTTATTGGCTGTCTTCAAATGTAACATGGATAACCACTTGTTGTTTATGTTTCATGGATTCATGTCCAGGTAAGGGTTGGATTTGATGTCCTCTGATGTCTTCCAGCTCTTACACTCTGTGAGGTACTAAGATTCTCTTCTAGATCTATCAGTCTTTAATTTAAGTTTTGTGTCAGAAAATAATAAATCTTGAAATTAAGTTTAACAATTTGTTGGGATTGTACCTGTGGAGTTGGATTAGACTATAAAATAGCTATGCAATCAATGCACTTGTGCAAAAAGAAAAAAAAAAAAAGAAAAGAAAAGAAAAGAAAAGAAAAGAAAAAAGAAAATGAGAATAAGGAAATTTAAGTGACTTCACAGTCTTACAGGTAGTAAGTAGCAGAACCAGAATTCAATCCTATGACTGACTGTTTTCTCTAGGGTAAGAACTCATCATCACACGCACTATGGCCATTAGAAAATATTTAAAAAACTGTACATATGTTTATAGGGTATAAGTGGCTTCCAGTGGTAGTAGAGTCCAAAGTTATCCATCCAGAACCTCTTTCTTTGTTAAGGAATAGTTCTTCTTGAAGTACCTTAAAGGACAAGTTTCTTATTGGTAGAATTTATCTATTGTATATTATTACATGATTCTGCTTAGCTTTAGAAGAAGGATCATGGGTTCATCTTTTCCTTTAAAAATAATCTTTCAATGAACATTCATAGAGGATTCAGGGAGTTCACTTTTTCTTATAAGGAAGGAGTTCAAAGGAACCATCTCAATGTTAGCATAACTCATTCATGAGGTTTAGAATTTTGAGAATATAAGAGAATGCTGCGCAGTTCACTTACAGATATGACTCTCTTGTTATCCCCAGAGTTGGATAAATACCAAAGCAAACACGTCTAATAACACCGAGGTCACCATGTTCGTTCTAATTGGCTTCACGGACCAGCTAGAACTGAAAGTCACCCTCTTCTTGCTGTTCCTGGCAATCTATCTCTTTACCCTAGTGGGAAATCTGGGACTGGTTGTGTTAATTGGAGTTGATTCCCGACTCCACACCCCCATGTACCATTTCCTCAGTGTCTTATCTTTCTTGGATGCTTGCTATTCCTCCGTTATCACACCTAAGATGTTGGTAAATTTCCTAGCACAGGATAAGGTCATTTCCTTTGCTGGTTGTGTTGTCCAGATGCTTCTCTTTGTTACTTTTGGGGCCACTGAATGTTTCCTTTTGGCTGCTATGGCATATGACCGCTACATGGCAATCTGTAACCCACTGCTCTACACAGCCATCATGACTCCTCGCGTCTATGTGCCTCTCATCATTGGCTCTTATGTAGGGGGTGTGACACACGCCATTTTACAGACTGTGGCTACATTTAATTTGTCTTTTTGTGCATCCAATGTAATCCAACACATCTTCTGCGACATCCCTCCACTCCTGGCCATCTCCTGTTCTGACACTCATGTCAATGAACTGCTGCTTTTCATCTTTGTGAGCTCCATTGAGATCTTCACCATCCTCATTGTTCTGGTTTCTTATGTCTTCATCTTGGCTGCCATTCTGAGGATCCGCTCAGCTTCTGGGAGAAAGAAAGTCTTCTCTACTTGTGGTTCCCACCTGACAGGGGTAGCCATCTACCATGGCACCATCCTCTTCATGTATCTGAGGCCCACTGCCAGCTACTCTCTGAGCCATGACATGGTGGTGTCTGCATTTTATACCATTGTGATTCCCATGTTGAACCCCATCATCTATAGCCTGAGAAACAAAGATGTGAAGGAGGCAGTGAAAAAAGTTGTGGAGAGAACCCAGTTTACCCATAATATTTTTTTTCCATGTTGGAAGTAAAGACTGTAATAGAGTAATGGGGAAAATGAGGGTTAAACTTCACCTAGACAGCTAAGTGATAAAGTGGATAGAGTGTTGGACTTGGAGATAGAAAATCTGAAGTTCAAATTTAGTCTCCAATACTTACTAAGTGTGAGATCCTGGGCCAATTGCTTCACTTCTCTTAGACACAGTTTCTCCATCTGTAAAATGGGTATAATTATAGCACCTATCTCAATGCATTGTTATGAGGATCAAATGAGATAATATTTGTAGAATACTTTGCAAACTTTAAAATATATAGAAAGGCTAGTTATTATCATGATAATTTATTTAAGAAAGACTAGTAATCAATCTATTGCACTTTTCTGAAGGTACAGGCTTATGCATCAGCCTTTGTTATTTGTTCTATCCATAAATTAGATTAGATTAAACAGATTGATATATTTCTTTCTATGTGCTATATAGTGGTGAAAATGACATTGTTCCTAAGGAACTTACATTCTGATAGAATAGCAATTGAAAAGTGTAACTTCTTTCCTATTACATTTATCACACACACACACACAACCACACACAACCACATGCAACCAAATGCATGTGTGTGTGTGTGTGTGTGTGTGTGTGTGTGTGTGTTTCTGCCAGCAGAAGCCAAGGTAAATTTTTCTTGGCTCTAGCTTAGTAATATAGAGTGTTAGAGTTGGACTCAGGAAGAACTAAGTTCAGATTTTTCCAGAGCCTTACTAGCTGTCTATGTGAAAGTAATTTAGCCTCAGTTTTCTCATCTATAAAATGGGATTAATGGTAGCGCCTATCTCACAGGTGGTTGTGAGGCTCAAATAAGTTTAAAGAGGTAAAGCAGGTTGTAAAAATTAAATCTCAGCATAAATTCTTCAACTCCTCTTCTCCTCCTCCTCATCCTCTTCCTCCTCCTCCTCTTCCCTTCTCCTTCAAAATTCTCTGAATATCAGCACTGTTGAACAATTGCCAAGTATGACTCCCAAAATAAAAATTAAAAATAGCTTGGAATGTCACACTAACACAAATGGAAATGATTAACCAATGTAGCTTCAGCACCAATCACAAGAAATAGGGAACTCTTATATGTTAGCATGTAGGACATGCTAATAAAGGAATGGAGTGAAATAGTTGACATATGAGATCCTTTCAAATTCTGATGTGCTTATCTTTTAATGCAGTGTAACAACTTTGGTCTGGGTTGCCCTTGGTTGTATTCCTATTGACACATGGGATACCACAACTGTGGTAGAAGCTTATTTGAGCTCCCAGGAGGTGGCCTTAAACCAAGGAAAAGGTAAGTTTTATATTCACAGAGGAGTGCAATATTTAAATTGATGCTCTAGCATCATCCAGATGGTCTCATCAGACTGACATCCATCCAAAATAGAATCCTATACCACCAAGTGGCAAGTTTATGGGGATTTAGGCAATCTAAACTCATTCTGTTCACATTCTGAATTCATACTAGGGGATGATACAGAGTTACTGAGAATTACTTTTCTTTTAAAGAGAATCAGTTTGTGTTTCTGTCTTCACCTTACATCTGTCTTATTCTTTCCCTATTGAACCCCATTCCCCTAACCACAATACACACATTCATAGGATGCAACCATTCAGTTTATTAGGGTGGCATAATTTATTGGACAGAGTAGAAGCTGAAAAATAAATACAACAATCCCTTCTGTATGGAGAATCTACCCAGCTATCTGAAAACTCTTTTGACACCCACAGTTCTTAAAGGTTGTGGATAGGACAGAAAGGCGTGTGTGAATGTATGTGTGTGTGTATGTGTGTGCGCACGTGCGTATGAGTTCAAGCCCACAGTCTGGACAGTGTCCGGGAAAGCATAGGAAATGTGCATGAAACATGCATATCTTCTTTTCCATCCTTCCAAATATCGAGGATTTGAAAGTTGTCACTAAGTTCCACTTCAGACCAGATTTGGAATTCTGTGCCCCATGTTAGGAGATATACCAATTTCTGGGCCCTTTATCTGATGACTGCCCATTCTGGATATAGGAATTGAACATCAGTTGGAAATAGCATCATGTTATATTAAACTACTTTGAACCATCAGGAAGAAGTAGTTACAGACAATGAAAGTCGCCTTCCTTCTATCGTGTATGAATGTAATTTGAACCTATTTATGTGTTATCTCCTCTATTAGTATTTATGCTTCTTGAGGGCAACCCTTGTTTTTATGTGTTTGCCTTTTTTTTTATACTCACAGAGCTTGGCTCAATGGCCAGCACATAATAAGACATAATAAATCCTTGGCTACTGATTGATTGATAAAACTGTGCATTTCCATAACTCCTGGATGCAGGCAATGATGCGTTGTTTGGGGCTTTTTGCACCTAGGAGAGGTTGTGGGCTTGAAGAAATACAATATTTTGTTATTTTGTTTTTCAGGAGCAGAAAGGTGGTATGGTGAATCATGTAATAATGGCTTTTCAATATCAAAGCCTTGAGTTCAAATCCTGAAGCAGACAATAAATATGAGACCCTGCTCAAATCACTTACCTCTTCTCAGCCTCAGTTTTCTGATTTTTTTGCAATGTGGACAATAATAGCCTGCCTTTTAGAAAGATGATCTGTTGCCTAAAATATTACACAAAATACTAACTAGTATTGTTCTCATTTTTATTTATTTTACATCTAATAAACATTTGGATGTAACCAAATGTGTTGGATCTGTTTGTGTGGAAGGTAGAGTTATTCTTCCAAGATGAGATGAGTAGAGTTCAGTCTGTCATAGCAAATTCAGGGCTGTGGCAAAGATTGCCTGAGACATGGGTTTGAGAACTGATTCTGGTTGAGTGAAAAGGAAAGGACACATATCACAGTTAGAATTGGTGCAGCCTCTGTAGACAGAGAAATAACTGGAAAACAGAACTTTACCCACTCTTGAGAATCAACAAGAATTGAATATTCTTCACCTGTTACGCCAGTAGGGCAGATGCCTTCAACCACCAAGGTGGACATCAAGATGCCAAGGTTTAGGTTCCTTATGTTGAACAAATCTACATACGGAATAGCAGTGGCACCTGATACTTAACTCCAGAATTTCCTTATAATAGGCCACGATGATCTATGCAGAGATTACTGTTTTGTTGGGACTGCTAAAAATGTGAATGTGTTCATTTTCATTAATCAAAGTTCTATGGGAGAGCATTATAAATTAGTTTGCTATAGAATTGAAAGTGGAAATATTCTGATTGTGGCTGTCGACATTTTTCAATGTAATTTAGCCCAATCCAATCCAATGAACATTTATTAAGTTACTAATGTAGACATTTTCTAATCAGTACCAAAGAAATATGTGTCTGCATTTGGAGATACACTTCCCAAGTGTCACAGGAAATGCTCTAGTCTCCATTACCTAAGGCTATATGTTACTTTTTACCCTTACTCCATGATACTCTTACTTGGATGAGGGATATCTCATTTCTACCTTGACTAAAGACCTCTAGTTCTATTTAACCACATCATATATTAACTTTTACAAATGAATATTTACTTCAAAATTATAGAAAGAACAAATATATACACATACTATTCCCCCAATACTTGAGGGACATAACATCCCCTACACAACCTCTGTTTCTTGGGAAGGAAAGCTGGCTAGGTCCACAGCTTAATCTAATTCTTATATAACGTTAATTCCCATCATCCTCCTACCCCACCCCACCAAGTTCCAAGTTCCGCCCATCCAGGGTTTTTATTCAGGCACCTTGGCTTCTCAGGGGTACATAACTGAACTAGAAGCAGTATCTAGCTTTGAATTCTGGCTCCAAAGTCCCCATGGCTTGAGTTTACAAGTCTGAGACTCAGCTCCCTGCTCCTAAAACTGAAAAAGACAAATAAAACATGACTAAAACTGCAAGCCAGTTTTTTGTGTCCATAAGGTCTAAGAGCAAAGGGAAGGTGGGCCTTCCTTCACCCAGCTTAGTGAATGCTCTCCATATTATGGGTAAACAAAACCTTTATCTCTGGATGCCAGGACTGTTTCAGTATGGTAATTTTAAAGACTCAGCCAGTTCCCTCTACACAGTCATCAGAAAGAGGCCATCCACACCCATGTGGTAAGGTAAGTCTTCTCTCAGAAGCAGATCCCTGACATTTCCCACATAGTTCCTTCCATCTTTGGTCATATGGCCTCATGTTAAATTCTTTTTACACATGAAATAAAATGTTTAGGAAAACAGTTTATTCCTAACATGGTGACACACAATCACATGGCCGTTGCAAGGTATAACTTCCTGCCTGTTATGTTTACATAAGCCTGTTCAGAATCGAATTGTGATTCTTTTACATTCCACAGAGATTTATTTAGTGTGATCACTAAACCTCCTCTGAAGTTTTCCTCTGATGTGTCACATATGGAACGTAGGTTCTCAAACACTATGCCTTAGGATTATAAATTGGCAGGTGCTATTAAAATTGAAAAGTTCTGAGGAGGACACTGGGGCAGAATATATGTCTGTCGACTGAAGTCCAGCCAAAGTTTGAAGAGGTATCGATGACCAAATGATATCTTTTTTAACCAAAGCAAGTCATTAAACAACATGTGAAATTGTAGAGAGGCTGCAATCTGCATCGGTGAGGGGAGTAGTCACTTTTAAAAAATAATTGATCTTTAACATATTGAATATGTCCAGAGTTCTTAAGCATTCTTTCCATGATTTAAACATGATGGCGAGCCTCTTGGTTAGTGTGGGCAGTGTGGCTCAATAGATAAACTAATCAGAACTTCTAATTAGAGTTGCAGGAAGTGACTACGGAGAAGAATTCCAGTTGTGGAGTGAAGTAAAGCAAATTGCAAGCTTAAGCAATAGCATGTGTCAGCCAGGAGCCCAGAGAGCTCCATGTCTCCCAGAGCCAGAGACTGAGGGCAAACTGAGTATCCTTGAGAAAACTGATTGGGAATGTCTTCAATGAGTAAGGATGAATTCTTAGCATTAAACTACTCTAATGTACTCTACAAACAAATGTGGGTAAGAAGGCACAGACTCATAGGAAACTCATCCAAAAGGTACCATAGTTCCTAATATACTTTTATCTGGTTAGACAAAAAAATACTGTAATGTGTTCCATTTATAGGTAGCTGGAGGTATAGTAGATAAAAGGGTGGGCCTAGAATCCAGAAGGCCTGAATTCAATTCCAGCCTATGACACTGTGTGACCCTGGGCATGACATTTAACTTCTCTTGGTTTCAGTTTAATCAACTATAAATTAGAGATAATAAAAACACCTACCTCATATGGTTGTTGAGAGGAACAACTGAGATATTTGTAAAAAAAAAAACCACCTCTTATCACAGTGCCCAGCATATAGTAGGTACTATATGAATTTTTGTTCTCTTACCTGACCATTTGGTTTATCGCATTTGAGAAAGGACATTGATAAGCAAAACAAGGTTGGTGATGGGCTTTGAATTAATGTCATGAGAAGCAACAAATAGAAGTTGAAAAGAGGCAGATTTAGACTTAGGAAAAACTACAAAATATTTTATCCCAAAGAAGAATGAGTTATCTTAGCAAGTACTGGAGTCACCCCAACCAGAGGTCTTCAAATAATCATGGGTAATCACTTTGAAATCCACCCTAACTGATGTGATTCTATGGGTAATTCAAGAATAATAAGCAACAAAGAGAAAGCAATGCATGTCTTCCCTATTTCTGGGGTATAGAGTGTCAGACTTCTGAGAAACAACATTAAGTAGAAATGTCAAGTTTGGATACACCATATGTGATGAAAACAAAGAAACTGTTGTGGGAAATACATAGCTTAACAATTTGGGGGGTTATTCAGAGAGATACCTCTACTTGAAGAAGGCACCTCCCACATCCAACCCAAAAGAGTATAAATTGGGCAAAAGCCATCTTGCTTTTTTCAAAGTTGTACCTTTTCAAGATTACAAATAAAATTTGTCATCTCTACAATTTGTCTTGAAAAAGAAAAAAAATATTTTTTATCACCCTATGGTTATCCTTGGATGAACTGAACCAAGAATAAAGCCAAATAGAGGAAGGTAAATATGATTGGATCTATTCACACTTCAACTGATTCAGACTACATGATTTGAATCCAATAAATATTTATTAAATACTTGTTTAGTGCAAAACACTTAGCTATTCTACAAACAATAGTAACAACACAGATATCTTACTCAATTAGCTCATGGTCTTAGTAGCAGGGGCATGACATTTAAATAGAGAACTCTGTACATGACGCTTTGAGGAAGAGAAAAATGATTCTGCTCCTGCTCACTTAAATCATAAATGATCATTCACAACATACAGAGCACTGTTCTTGAAAAAGGACAGGAGAAGACATGGTCACCACCATCACCACCACCACCACCTCCCTCAGGGAGATTACAGTTCAAGTATTCATCATAGAGAAAGATAAAAATGAAAATTAATGCACTTCATCTATATTTTTAGAAAAGTGGTACAAATTGGGTAGAAGTGAAAGACAATAAAAGAATAATTTCATTTTTTACTTTGTTAAATGTAACCATAAGAATATTTAAATCTGAATCTATCCTAAAGTTCCAGGAATTGAAGAAAATTCAATAATGAAGTTCTACTGTGAAAATCTTCTCACAGAAACTAGATTTCATTAGCTTCCTTAACTTCCAAATGCATTTCTATGTCTCTACCCATCCTGGAAATAACTTGGGTTTCATCATACAATTATAAAGATGAGGTTGAACTAGGTCTGAGAGAATATCTATAACAATGACATCATTGTTTATGCCACTAAGGGCTAGAGAAATTGCATTACCAGCCAAGAGCAATGCTGATAGAAAGTGGAACAGATAAGCACCCTTTTGTCTCCATTGTATTATGTTGATCTATTGCTGATCTATGCAGAGATTTATTCTAGGCTGAAAAGTTTCCGCTTTCAAAGGTTGAAGTTCTTTTGTGTGCATGAGGCTACACAATCAACTAAAAAATAAAAGTTAATAGAAACAGTATCTACCAGGGAATTTTCACCTACTTGTGCAAGACAACTTTTTCTAACTTTCCATTTGCATTTCCATTTGCAACGGTCAATCAATTTCTCTGGAAGATCTCCAAAAACTTACCTGATCTCAGCGATGGGTACATTGCTAACAGCTAATATGGGATGATGTATTTTCTTAAAGCAAGAATGAGAGAGTAGAAAGATTTTTACAGGAAGAAAAGATAATGCAGAAGAAACTGACAGAGTAGAAAGAAGAATTTTTCACCTCTGGTAATTTATTGTAACTACTGCATGTTGCACATTAAATATAAAGATTGCATTGATTGTCTATGGTTCTTTTTAGGGCACCTTTTACCTCTTTATTCCTCAAACTGTAGATCAAAGGGTTAAGCATGGGGATGACTAAGATATAAAACACAGAGGCCATCTTGTCTGTCTCAAAAGAGTGGCTAGAGTTGGGCTGCAAATACATGAAGAGAAGGGTCCCATAGAACACAACCACCACAGTGAGATGGGAGCCACAGGTGGAGAAGGCTTTCGATCTGCCCTCAGCACAGTTCATCCTGAGGATGGCCACAAGAATGAGCACATAGGAAACAAGGACAATTAGGAGGGGAG